GGGAGAGGGGCAGAGAGAGAGGGAGACTCAGAATCGGAAACAGGCTCCAGGCTCTGAGCCATCAGCCCAGAGCCTGACGCGGGGCTCGAACTCACGGACCGCGAGATCGTGACCTGGCTGAAGTCGGACACTTAACCGACTGCGCCACCCAGGCGCCCCTTGAGGCAGCTTATAAAAACACCCACAATATAAGAGGATAAGATAAACTGGTAGGGAAATCTGATGAAAGGAAAAATAAGGGTAGGAAAATAAAGTCAGTGGTTAGTGTACAAAATGCATATGCTCCCTGAATAGCCAAAGCAATCTTGAGAAAGAAGAACAAAACTGGAGGTATCACCATTCCAGATTTCAAGATAATTCTAGATTTCAAGATATGCTACAAAGCTATAGGAATCAAAACAGTATGATAGTGGCTCAAAACAGACACATAGATCAATGGAATAGAATAAATAAACCCACAATTATATGGTCAATTAATCTATAAAGGAGACGAGAATATACAATGGAGAAAAGACAGTCTCTTCAACAAATGATGTTGCGAAAACTGGACAGCCATATGGAAGAAAGAATGACACTGGACTGCTTTCTTATACCATAAACAAAAATGAAATAAAAATGGATTAAATACCTAAGTGTAAGACCTGAAACTATAAAACTCTTAAAAGAAAACATAGGCAGTAAACTCTTGTAACATTGGCCTTAGCAATTTTTTTTGGATCAGTCTCCTCAGGCAAGGGAAACAAACAAACAAAAAATTGGGACTACATCAGATTAAAAACTCTTGCACAGTGAAGGAAACCATCGTCAACAAAACAAAGAGGCAACCTACTGAATGGGAGAAGATATTTGCAAATCATTTATCTTAGAAGAAGCTAATATAGATCTATATCTTATCTATATAGCTATATAGATAGATACTCATACAAATGAAATCTAAAAAAATCTACCAAAAAATCATACCAAAAAAATCTAACTAAAAATGCACAGAGAATCTGAATAGACATTTTCCCAGAGAAGACATATGGATGGCCAACAGATGAATAGATGCTTAAGGTGACTAGTTACGGAAATGCATTGAGATGTCACTTCACACGAGTCAGAATGGCTAGTATCAAAAAGACAAGAAATAAGTGGTGGCAAAAACGGAGCCCTCTTGGCCTGTTGATGGGAATATAAATTGGTACAGTCACTGTGGAAAACAGTATGGAGTTTCTCCAAAAATTTAAAATTAGAAATACCATATGATCCACTAATTCCACTTCTGGGTATCTTCCCAAAGAATGAAAACACTAATTGAAAAAGATATATGTACCCTATGTTTATTGCAGCATTATTTACAATAGCCAAGATAGGGGGGCCCCTGGGTTGCTCAGTCGGTTGAGTGTCTAACTCTTGATTTCGGCTCAGGTCATGAGCCCAGGGTCGTGGGATCAAGCGCCCCATTGGGCTCTGCGCTGAGTATGGAGTCTGCTTAAGATCCTCTCTGTCTCCCTCTGCCCCTCTTCCCACCTCAAGTGCAATCTCTCACTCTCTCTCTAAAATAAGAACAACAACAAAACAATAGCCAAGATATGGAAGCAACCTAAGTGCTCACTGATAGATGAGTGGATAAAGAAGATGTGGACATATGTACAATGGAATGTTATTCAGCCATAGAAAGAATTAAATCTTGCCATCTGTGATAACATGGATGGACCTTGAGGGTAAGTGCAAAGTGAAATAAGTTAGAGAAAGACGAATATCATACGATTTCACTTATATGTGGAACCCAAAACAAAACACAACAGAACAAATGAATAAGCAAACAAAACAGAACCAGATTCACAAATACAGAGAAAAAGCTGGTGGTTGTGAGTGGGAATGGGGAGGATAGGCAAAATAGGTGAAGGATTTTAAGAGTTAAAAACTTCCAGTTATAAATGAATGAGAGGGATGGAAAGTTCCAGGGGAATATAGTCAATAATATTGTATGATGGCAGTTGATACTGTATTTATTGTGGTAAGCATTTTGCAACATGTATAATTGTCAAATCACTGTGCTATATACCTGAAACTAACACAGTATTGTATGTCAACTGTACTTCAATGAAAAAATTTTTAAATGCATAATCCTCTGCACTTGAGTGTGATGAGCCTAGATCTGGGCCTGTGCCTTCGGGTGGTCAAAGAGAGTAAGGACACATGACCAGTGGTGACATTCTCAGCATGCAGATAGCTCAGTGTCTAGTGTGATTTATATGTTGGGAAGCACATCTTCCTCTGGAGACTAGCTCTCTGATGCCCGCATCTGGGCATTCCTTGGCTGCCAGTGCATTGAAAGGCCTTTCTTACCTGGCGTGGATACCTTGCTCATCACTCGGGGGAGCAGATGGGGTTTCCTAGTTCCTGGACAGACTACACTCAGGAAGAAGTGCAGGTTAAAAACCAGGCATAGAAAGCTAACTATACTAGAGCCTAGTCCTAGAGCAGAGGTGATAGGATGGGGAGAGGAGGTACTTTTCTAAAAATACTTGAATGTTTTATTTAAAAATTTTCCATGTTTTTAATGCTTATCACAAGAAGAGATCAAAGCTCTCATCTCTGAGGTTTTGTTGTTTATCCCGACGCAGGGAACAGCTTAAGAAATATACAGGGGCAAAGAATTAGATGCATTTTGTAGACTTTATGTTTTGGCTAAGTATTAGGAAATATATGGAGAAACCATTTCAGAAAAGGAGTTGAGGGGAAAAAAAGCACACATACCGAAGACAGCTTTTGTCCCACAGAATTTTGAGCCTGTGTTCTGCGCTCTTGAAGCCATCAGGCAGGTTTGACTTCTAAGGCCTCTTGTTCTCTTTGGAAAACTGAAGGGTGGTTTCCAGCTTTAAATCATTCTCTCTCCCTCTACTTCTGAGCCCTATCTTCCTCCCACTATCCTCTCTCCCACCACCCCCCCCCCCCCACACACACTTATGTGCTGCTAAAGATGGAAAAACATGAAGCATTTGAGCAAGTAGAAGAAAATCTTCGGAAGTTTGGAAGCAAGCACATTATTAAAATATCATGTGGGGGCACCTGGGTGGCTCAGTCAGTTGGGCATCGGACTCTCGATTTCACCCCAGGTCATGATCTCACAGTTTGTGGGTTTGAGTCCTGTATCAGGTTCTGAGCTGACAGCACGGAACCTGCTTGGGATTTTCTCTCTCCCTCTTTCTCTGTTCCTCCCTCACTTGCGTGTGCTCTCTCTCTCTCTCTTTCTCTCTCTCAAACTTAGGGGCGCCTGGGTGGCTCAGTCGGTTAAGCGGCCGACTTCGGCTCAGGTCATGATTTCGCGGTCGGTGAGTTCGAGCTCCGCGTCGGGCTCCGCGTCGGGCTCTGTGCTGACAGCTCAGAGCCTGGAGCCTGTTTCAGATTCTGTGTCTCCCTCTCTCTGACCCTCCCCCGTTCATACTCTGCCTCTCTCTGTCTCAAAAATAAATAAACGTTAAAAAAATTAATTAAAAAAAATAAACTTAAAAAAAAATCATGTGTAGGGGCACCTAGGGGGTGGCTCAGTCAGATAAGCTTCCAAATTTGGCTCAGGTCATGATCTCATGATCCATGAGTTCAGGCCCAATGTCAGGCTCGTACTTACAGTTCAGTCTCTGTCTCTCTCTCTCCCTCCCCCCAGAGAGTCACACTCTGTCTCTCTATCGAACATAAATAAACATTAAATTAAAAAAACAATCATGTATACATGGAACAGATACACTGTTTTTAACCTGTGGTGGAAATAAGGACAGCTTTGGTAGATTTAACAAAGAAGAGAATCAGGCAACTACTCACCGAGTCTGGGAAACGCAAAGATGCAGTCCAGGACTCTCAGGATTCCAGTTCTTCTCATCTCTTATCCTATATGATGTTGGCCAGCTGGAGAGGTTCAAAGCCACTCTAGCAGTCCTTGCACCATGGTTAAAATGTGTCTTCATTTGTACTCCTGGAGACCAGAGCATTCTTTCCTGGCTCTTGCCATGGACCAGAGGGTTAGCCGAGTTTCTGGATTTGCCTCTGGTGGAGCTCCCTACCAGCTGGAGAATGTTCTCAGGCCCTTCAGCCACTGTTAACTGTTGCCTCACCCCACCTGCCCACTGTCCTGGAGCCTGACCACGAACCCAGCTACAACCTCGTTGCCTTTTTTTGGTCTCTGGCTTGACCACCTGCTGGCTCTCAGCACCTGCCCCTCTCCCACGTGGCCCCGGCAAACCATGGAAACCCTCCGGCCTGATGCAACCTCAATGCCGCCCTCTTCCCAGCCCTGGATGGGCACCTACAGGTGCAGCCCCACCCTCTGTAGAGATCTGTCCTGGAGCCCCATCCCCAGTCCTGAAAAGGTCTCAATCCTCCTCCCTCATCTGGGGTTTGAAGTTTTCAACTCTCACCCAAGCCCTGTAGGAAAGGTCAGCACTTGAAACTGTTGGTGAAGCATTAGTAGAAACAGAATGTCCTGCTTTGATAAATTGTTAAGGTGTGTCTGTGTGGGTGGGCCCATTTGATCTGGTCTTACAGATAAACCTTTTGTTATGGTTTCCATATTCCTAACTAACACATTTAATGCAATCAATATGCTGAAAGTTACTCCTGCATTCTAAGGAATTTTTACTAATAGAAGAATCTTGTCAGGCTCGGGGGAATGTTAGGTAAATGTTTAGTTCTACTATTTTTGTCCCATAATTAACCTTCCCGTAGCTCTGGGCACCGGGGTTGTGCATATTCCCACTCGCGCCCTAGACCCCGCCAACACACATTCTTTAAATCATCTCTGGATTCTGGGCCTATGGGACCAGGGTTCTGATTGTGAATTTTGTCTTTAGACAGTTCTTCAAGGTCTGCTGCTGGGAGCCGTTTCAGTGTAAGTCTTTGATACATATTTCCTTTCTCGCGTTTGCTTTTCTTTGTATGTATGTGAACAATAATCACAGTCTCTGGTTTTAGTTTCTGTAATGCAGAGGAAGTGCTGTGGGCAACAGCAGCGACTGCTCTGGTGACATTATCGCTCACTTTATTTGCTCTTCAAACAAAAGTATGTATCACCGGAAAAGATTTCTGTCACAAGGGAGTGTGTAGATGTGTTCCTTTGGCCCTTGCTGACCCATTCTTATCTCTCCTCCTTCCTGCTCACTGCTGTCCTGTGGGCCTCACCTCCGTAGCTTCTTGGCCTTCTGGCTTCTGACTTTCCTAGTAACCACGTTAAAAAAAGAAAAAAAAGCAAAAAGAAACAGGTGAATTTAATTTTAATCATATATTTTATTTAACCCAGTGTATGCAAGGTATTAACATTTCAGTAAACAATATAACGCAAATATTGAGACATTTTACTTTCTTTTTTGAGCTAAAATTCAAATTCAGTGTGTATTTTATTATACTTACAGCATACTTTACTTCAGACTAGCCACACTTTGAATGCTTACCTAGCCATAAGTATGGAATGCATAGCTCTAGACAAGTATTTAAAAACAATTTTTGGGGGGCACCTGGGTGTCTCAGTCGGTTGAGCATCTGACTTCGGCTCAGGTCATGATCTCATGGTCTGTGAGTTCAAGCCCCGCATTGGGCTCTGTGCTGACAGCTCAGAGCCTGGAGCCTGCTTCGGATTCTGTGTCTCCCTCTCTCTCTCTGACCCACCCTTGTTCATTCTCTGTCTCTCTCTGTCTCAAAGATAAACATTTAAAAAAAATGTTTTTAAACAATTTTTTGTAAAATGTTTATTTCTGAGAGAGAGAAAGCAGGGGAGTGGCAGAGTAAGAGGAAGACACAGAATCTGAAGCAGGCTCCAGGCTCCAAGCTATCAGCACAGAGCCCAACGCGGGACTCGAACCCACAAACTGTGAGATCATGACCTGAGCCGAAGTCAGATGCTTAACTGACTGAGCCACCCAGGCGCCTCTCTAGACATACATGTTTTAAACAGCCATCAGAATCCTCTGGAGGGTTTGTTAAAACACAGATTCTGGACACCCTGGAGTTGCTACTTCAGAAAGTCTGGGACACAGCCCAATAATTTGCATTTCCCAGATAGTGCTGGTTTGAGAACCACATGTGGAAACCTAGTGCTTCTAATTATTCTCTTGGTGTGCAAGAAGTAAGGAGTGAGGGGGGACATACAGGAGTTAGGAAAAAGCTCTTACAAGAAAGTATCATGGATTCAAGGGTCTTCTTTTGCTGTATAATATCATTCTGTTCAGGTCAGAAGATGAATATTCCCCTTTGTTTAAAAAAATTCCTCAGCTTCCCCAGGCTGTTTTCATCCCTGATTTATGAAGGCAAAACCAAAAAGCGTATTAATAAATTTCAAAATTACAAAAGAATCAGCAATAATTTTTGAAAGCTTAGTGTATATATTTTTATTAAAATATATGCATACAAACATGGAAAGGCGCCCAGTTCATTGCTGTATTTTATGCACATGCTTTCAGAAATATGACCATACTGTACATACAAATGTACATTCTATTCCTATAAATACAAAAATAGAATAGTATAATGAGCCCTCATGTATCCACGGCTCTTGTTATTTCATCCATACTCCTACCTTCTTCTCCCTCATGAAGCAAATTCCAGTCAACACCACACTTTTTAACGTAGCATTTTTCAGTGATAGGGGCAAATGGATGTCTGTGGTTCTCAGAATTGTCTAGGGTAGATTATTAGCAAATGGGCCAATTTCTATCTATGGGGCATAAGGTGCATCTCTAAACTTCCTGAAATTCCTTCCAGATGCTAAGTGAGCTGTTTTTGTGTTATATTTCCTCAGTGGGATTTCACCATGCTAAATGGGATGCTGTTTGTTTTTCTCTTCGTACTGTTCATCTATGGAATTTTCTTCCTCTTCATACGCTCATATGTAAGTGGGATCTCGTTTGGGAACCTCAGAGAATTGTTAGAGGGCAAAGTGCTGGTTGTGTTGGCCTAGATCTTCTGTGAAGCAGACACTCGGTTGGGTGAACTGGGTGAGGACTTGAACGGGAGAAGTGTCTGTGAGAGAAAAGGGGCTGGGGAGCCTCTGAGGGCTGGAAGACGTGCCCCACCACAGTAGCACATCTGACACCAGGTGAAGGGGAGGGAAGGTGGGCAGTGGGAACATTCTAGACATGAGGTCGAGGAAGGTTCAGCAAGGCTGTAGGGGGAGTGGGGGGGGGGTTCCTTGAGCTAAAGTTGACTGTAGTCCTGTGTCTCCCAGGAAGTACTCTGCTGCTCCCCAGTGACTGACAAGTGACAGGCGTGGCCCAGAAACTCACTGCAGTGGGCTGCACAGCACAGCGGCCAGGCACCTCCCAGTAGCTGGAGGTCTGTGAGGCCTGTCCTTGCGGCCGCCCAGCGTGGTGTGGTTGGGGTCCTGTTGGAAGTGTGGGGCATGAAAATGGAGCTACTTCTCTAGACTATAGCTGTCTTTCCCTAAGAGGGTCTTGGGGTGAACCTACCCACAGGGCTGGTCAGACTTCTCCTATACCTGGGTGCTGCTTGTTTGAAGAAATGAAAGTGGAGTGATGGGCTTTTCAGACTTTCCCAGTGGCAGCGTAGAGTAATTCCAGCTTGCTTGCTTGCTTGCTTTCCTTCCTTCCTTTCTTCCTTATATATATTCACTGACTTCTTACCAGATATCAGATATAAGCCTGTGGTTTTCTCATAGGCATTACATTTAATTCTCATGACCTTTATGAAAAGTACATGTGTCATCTATTGTTTAGCTAAAAACACATGCTCAGAGAAATTAATTCACCCAGGTCTACACAAGGAGTAAGTGGTAGGGGTGGGATGAAAGCCAGATCTGTGGGACGCCAGTGCCATGCTCTTCCCAAAGCACAATCTGTGGATGGAGGCTAGAGGGGGTGTGGGCCCGGCTTGTCATTGGCCCCTGTGGGGAGACCCTATGGGCAGCCAGCTCCACTGAGGATTGACCTAGAGCCTGTGACGTTTTGACTAAAGCCCTAAGGCCAACTTGGCCCAACTGCTGAATCCAAGAGTTTCTTTGGCAACAAGTAGACTTGTTAAGTGATCTTCAGACATATAACTAAGAGTTAAGCCTGAATTGGTTTAGCTTTATGAATGACTATGTAGACTTATAGTTAGGGAGATTTTGTTTTATTTTTATTTATTTTTGTAGTATCTATATTTTAGAGGTAAACTCGAAGATATAACAAAGATGTGCCTTAAAAGGCCACACAGCTCTCCATTTATTACTATGGCTGGTAGCCATAATAATACAACTTGGTAGGAATAATATTGGTAGGAATAATACAAATATTTATTAGGTTGGTTCCATAGGTCTTTACAATACCATTTAGGTGCAGTTAAGAAACAGTGTTTCCTACTAGATAGATGAACCTTTGTTCCCCCTGTAAACTTCCTTTCACAAATATTTACAATATTTAATCTTACACACATGTTTAAATGGAAGGGAAGACTTTTGACAGAGCCTTGTTGTAAGTATACAGGCTTGTTTGACTTTGGCAATTTTGAATTCTTCAGACTCCAGTAATCAGGTATTTTCTTACTATTAGCTCATTCCGGAAATACTGTCCCTCCCACACTATGTCACTGACTCCTGGTTTATGTCATCGGCCAAGGATCTTCCCTGGTTAGCAGAATGCTCTATTTGTCTAGGATGAGCTTTCTTGTCCTGAAGAGTGAATGACATTATTTTTCTCAGATGTTATATACCACTTCTTTATCCTCTCCCTCTATAGAGCCAACCCCTTTGGCATTCACATCGGTCCCATATTCTGATCAGGGCTGTTTTGGTTGCAAGGAACAGACACTACCCAGACTAACTCAAGGCAAAGACCCAGGGAAGCTCATGGAACTCCTAGGTGGGAAGAAGCAGCAGGATTCACAGAAATGGAAATCCCACATTCCTCTCTTGGGCTGAGTTGATCAGCCTTCTCTGTATAGTAATAGCCCCAACAGTAGCTGATGATGCAACAGCCTCTGGGAATTGATTTCTGACTGGCCTGGTGCATCTGTTTGATCTTACTTTCTGGTCAGTCAAGAGAGTCACTGCTGTTGGAGTAGACATCTTCCACCTCTTGTCAGTTAGCCCTAGCTAGGGTATATGAGGGTCACGATTTTCACAGAGCCACCCATTCCAAGAGTGAGTATAGGGGCAGACGCCCTAGAAGGGCAATGCAATGGTGCATGAAGTGAACCGTATCTAGTATGTTCTACTTGTCCTACCATGCATGAGATGTTTAGCACTTATCTAGCAAAACTGATTCGGCAAGGGTAGTTTTCATGTGTTTGCTGAATGGAATTGAGTAGATGCTGTTGACCACTATGTTCAAAAAGATGAAATTCCCCACAGATGTGACTTTCCTTAATACTGGGTCCTTATCTGACAGCAGTAAACTAAGTGAGCCCTTTCATTATTCCAGACCTTTTTCTTAACATACAATTGTTTCTTCTCTTTGCAGTGGTTGCACCTATTGTATGCTGGACTTGGAACTGTACTCTTCTCACTTGTGAGTCTAATTTCTCCCTCTCTTTGACAAAGAATATGGTCTGTGCATTGACAAGTGCTAGGCCCAGAGTCAACTAGAGTCAGTATTTCATTTTTCCCTCCTATGCCTCCCCCTCTTCCTTTCCCTCCTTCTCCTTCTTCTTTTTCTTCTTTTAAAAAATTTGTTAAATGTTTATTTTTGACAGAGAGAGAGAGACAGAGCATGAGTGTGGGAGGGGCAGAGAGAGGGAGACACAGAATCCAAAGCAGGCTCCAGGCTCCAGGCTCCGGGCTCCAAGGTCTCAGCACAGAGCCTGATGCAGGGGTCAAACTCATGGACTGCAAGATCATGACCTGAGCCAAAGTCAGACACTCAACCAAGCCACCCAGGCGCCTCTATTTTTCTTTATAAAGACAATTTTTAGAGCACTTTTAAGTTCACAGCAAAAGGGAGAGGAAGGCACAGACATTTCCCACATATCCCTTGCCCCCACACACACATGGCCTCCCCCCCAATCAACATCACTCACTAGGGTGGTACTTTGTTACATTGCCGAACGTATATTGACGCGTTATAATCACCTAAAGTTCACATTAGACTTTACTCTTGGTGTTGTACAGTCAGTCTGTGGGTCTAGATAAATATATATTGACAGGTTCCATCATTATGATATCATACAGAGTGTTTAAAAGCCCTAAAAGCCCTTTGTGTTCCACCTTTTGATTCCTCCCCTACCTCCAACTCCTGGCAACCACCAATCTTTTTCCTGTTGCCAAATTTTACCTTTTCCAGAATGTCATATAGTTGCACACCGTATATAGCCTTTTCAGAATGGCTTATTTCACTTAGTGATGTGCACTTAAGGTTCTTCTGGGTCTTTTCATGGCCTGATAGTTCATTTCTTTTAGTACTGAATAACATTCCATTGTCTAGATGTGCCACAGTTTATGTATCCATCCACCTATTGAAGGACATCTTGTTTGCTCCCAAGTTTTGGCAATTATGAATAAAGCTGCTGTAAACATCCCTGTGCAGGTTTTTCTGTGGAGTTTTCAACTCCAATGGGTAGATAGCAAGGAGTGTGATTACTGGATCAGATGGTAAAAAGTATGTTTAGTTGTTTTTTTTTTTTAATTTTTTTTCAACGTTTTTTTATTTATTTTTGGGACAGAGAGAGACAGAGCATGAACGGGGGAGGGGCAGAGAGAGGTGGAGACACAGAATCGGAAACAGGCTCCAGGCTCTGAGCCATCAGCCCAGAGCCCGACGCGGGGCTCGAACTCACAGACCGCGAGATCGTGACCTGGCTGAAGTCGGCCGCTTAACCGACTGCGCCACCCAGGCGCCCCAAGTATGTTTAGTTTTTAAGAAACCGCCAAACTGTCTTCAAAAGTAGTTGTACCATTTTGCATTCCCACAAGCAGTGAATAAGAATTTGTTACTTAACATCCTCAGCAGCATTTGATGTTGTAAGTGTTCCCGAATTTGGCCATTCTAATAGTGGTATCTTATTGTTGTTTCAATTTCTGTTTCCCTTATGACATATGATGAGGAGTATCTATTAATGTGTTTATTTGCCATCCATGTATCTTCTTTGGTGAGTTATCGCCTGTGTTTTTCAGCCCAGAGAACAAGTAATGATTTTTTTAAATCAGATTGTTTGCTTATTGTTGAGTTTTAAGTGTGTGTGTGTGTGTGTGTGTGTGTGTGTGTGTGTGTGTGTGTGTGT